TGTGTGTGTGTGTGTGTGTGTGTGTGTGTGTGTATATATATATTGCTTTTAAAAACAAGATTGTGTGTCTTGTAGACAAACCGTGACTGACTGTTATCCGCTGGATGAAAAATGCACTTGAATAAGTTTTTTTTCCCAATGAGAATAAACATTTGGCGGTTTTACCCTTTCAGCTACTGTTCACAACTGAATAACTGCTCAGGGCAATAGGTAGGATGGGTGGCGCACACCTCAGGACTCCATGTGACTGGAAGAGACAGACAACAAAGAAAATAATGCTTTCTCCCTAGTGTTTAATTAAAAAGTGTTTAAATCATAAGCTTTGTACGATGGAAAAACATTGTGGTTTTGAAAATTCTTTAACACTAAACCTTGAAGAAGGTAACCGGCTCATGCTTAGTTGCAGTTGTGTTGTAGGTATACTGACATCCATGAATGTCTTTTGTTTTTTCCAGGATCAATATCCCTGGGTCAGCAGAGAAGGAGAAGGAAGACGAACGGCAGACTATTTGGAACGGTAACCCACCAACAGCAGCCGAACTCCAGAGGTTCAGAAAGGAGTACGTGCAGCCAGTCCAGCTCAGGTAAACAATCCGTCCAGGATGAGTTCATTCTCCATCTATCCATTACATGCCTGATCCAGTTCAGTCACATGGAACTAGTGTATTTCCCCAGCAATCAGTGGGTAAGAGGCATGGTACACCCTGGACAGATTGTGAGTCAATCACTGGACCACATCGAGTAGGGCTGTGTATTGGCAAGAATTTGGAGATACGATACATATCATGACAGAGGGGTCACGATACGATATATCCCCATATATTGCGATACTGTAAACAAGGCGATATACAGTATTGCAATTTTTTTTGGTCCAAAAATTCTATTAAATAAAAACCTCTTACTGGGAAAAAAATTTAAAAAATGAAAAACCAAAATTTGTTGTCTCAGAAAATTCTAATATTACATAGACATACTTTTGATACATTTAGCTGTGTTCTGCTTTGTATGTGTTTTATTTTATTTGTTTCATATTTTATCCATGTTTTCAATTATTAGACTAAATTTGCCAATAAATAGTTTGAAAATACAGTATATATTTTTGCAGCTTTTAGTTTTTAATATTAATTTACAATATGGTCACCCAACACTTAACAATAGCCTTTATGTTGTCATAAAGTTCAGTAAACATATGACATGAAGCTGCTGCACAGAGTTTCTGGGATCAGCTGACCTGCATCCAGGTCCTGAAGAAAACCAGTAAATAAATGGAGAAGCTAAACAACACAGTTAAACCATTTTTGAAGCGAACACAGCAGGATAAACTTAAAGTATATGGACTTTTATGCGATCATCAGCCTGACATTGAGAGAAACAGATAGAGTTTTATGTCACGGGGGGAGTGCCGAGCTACGCATGCGCTACATATGCATAACGTGAAGGCTGACTACAGTTGGAAAAAAGAGCGGACAAAACACTTAGTTTGTCTTAAAATACAGACATTCTGACAAATAAGTAACTGTTTGTAACCTTACCTCAGCTTAGAAGGCAGAGGGTGTCGGTCTTTTCTGCTCAGATTCAGCTATCGGAGCATGAAGCTAATGTTTACTCACAATGCTAATGCTCTCTTACTCTCTGGCGCTCGAGGTAGAGGAGCCAAATGGCTGGCTCACTGCTGCCAACTAGTGGTCAGAGGCTGAACTACAACATAAAAATGAACGGCTGGCAGCAAAGTTGACGTTTTAAACCTTAATAAAAAATTGATACAGGGCTTTAGAATATCGATACAGTATTGGGAAATGAAATATCACGATATTTCTGTGTATCGATATTTTCTTACACCCCTAACATCGAGACAACCGACCATCCACACGCACACCTAGGGTCAGATTGGAGTTGCCAGTTATCCTGATATGCACATTTTTGGGACTATGGGAGGATTCACTTCATTCTTTCTTAAAAAAAAGCTAAAATCGAGAAGAGATCCAGCACTTGAAAAGATGGTTCTCTGAAAACAACCTTGCCCTGAACACCAGCATAATTAAAAAGGGCATCGTTGACTACTGGAGGACCAGGAAGACTGAACATGCTCCTTTCCTCATGCAAGGAGAGGCATTGGAGTGCATGAACATCAGGTTCCTGAGCATCCACACTTTGCACTTTACTGCACGTTTTAACACCAACTTTAACTCTACGTGTAATTWATTATTGCTGCTTTGCTGCCTCACAACTTGCTGCTAATTTGTAGAGCCTTATAAGTTAATTTTATTCTGCTAACTTGTGCAACCTTTTTATATTGTATCATTTTGGAAGCTATTTTATTTGTTAGGTGGGAGCACCAGATCAAATGTTGTTGTGCTTTACATGATGACAATAAAGATTCTTAATTCTTAAAAGTTCAGCAATATAAAATATGGCGGGCTAACATGCATTGCCTCAAGGAACGCCAGATATTTAATTTTATTGAGTTTCAGTATAAACAGGCTCAAACTTGGATTTTTAAACAGAAAAATACTTTATAATAATTGATTTTTTAATWATGAAAGGTCCTTGTGACATGAATAGATCCACAGGAACAGCTTGTAAATGAGTGACAATATGTATTGTTATCAATTCCTTCACAGGGTTCTCAACGTGTTTCGTCAGTGGGTCGAGCATCATTTCTATGATTTTGAAAATGATCCAGACCTGAGAGCTCGGTTGGAATACTACATCATCACCAAAATTCAACTTCGAGGCAAGTCAAATACACAGTGGAAGGTCCATTACGACACCAGTTTAATTTGACTGGTTAGGTTTCATCCTGTGATTATCAGCACAGGATCTTTGCATCTATTCACAGATGAGGTCAGAAGTTATCATACAGCACACCTATCATCGATCATTTTGGGCTGTTAATGTTTTTGTCATGATAGAATGCAGCTGGTAGTTTTTATTTTCCAATAAAAATGATTTGTTTGACAGCATTTACTGGAAATTTCAATGAAGATCTGAGGAGGAGAGAAAAAATTGGTTTAAAGGTTCAGAAACAAACCTGGAAGCAACAGTTGTTTGTTTGTTTGTTCGTTTGTTTGTTTGTTTGTTTGTTTGTTTTTTACATTCAAAAAGGCACTTTATGACATGAGTAAACATAAAATTAACAGGAAGCCACAAAGTTAAAGCCTGCCATGAACTTGAAACAGCTGCAACACTAATGTCCCTGTTCATGGTGCAGTTTTACCATCACAAGTGGAAAGTAGCAAATTACATTTATTAATAATAATAATAATGTGTTTTATTTATAAAGTGCTTTCAGGACACCCAAGGACACTGTACAATAGAAAAAGGGGGAAAAAAGTAGATACATATATGTACATAMGGTAGTGTGGGAGAAACAGAGATGTGGAGTACAGAACAGTCATATAATAAAATACAAAAATGTAGACAAATTGAACAATAGGGTTGTGGAGGAGACAGAAGTGAGGACAACAAAAACAGACATATATTGAAAATCAGAATTAACAGCGGTAGGCTAATTTGAAAAGATGTCTTCAGGCCAGTCTTAAACA